TTTAGAGAGGAACATCATGCTGGGTAGAGTAGAGGGAAAACACAGGAAGGGAAGACCCTCTATGAGGTGGATTGATTCAGTGACTGGGGCACTCGGGATGGGTGTGTCAGAGGCAATGAGATTGGCACAGGATAGAGCAGGGTTTAGGGTCGCTATGAGTCGCAAATGACTCAACGGCACATAACAACAACAACAGTTAACTTCCAGCTTTTTCAGGTGTGGCGTTTATTTGATTTAGTCTTTTTACCTCCAAGAGGTCCTAATAAGCCTTTAAAAAACACTTGTCAGCTCTGGTGCGAGCTCTGGTGGCCTAGTGGCAAGAAGCTACATTGCAATTCCAGAGGTGAGTGATTCCAATCCACCAGATGCTCTGCTGGAGAAGGAGGGACAGTCTCTTCCTGTACCATTCAGATCCAATTTAACTGTGCACACACACTTGTCAGACTGACTTTAAATTTAGACAGAATCCTAAAATCAAACCACTGCCATCCAGTCGATTATTGTTGTTGTTATGTGCCGTCGAGTCGCTTGCGACTCATAGCGACCCTATGTACAACAGCCCTAAACTCTGCTCTGTCCTGTGCCAATCGCACTGTCTCTGACACTCCCATCCCAATTATCCCAGTCACTGAATCAATCCACCTCATAGAGGGCCTTCCTCTCCTGTGCTGTCCCTCCACCCTCCCAAGCATGATGTCCCTCTCCAGGGACCGGTCCCTCCTCACAACATGTCCAAAGTATATTAAACGGAGCCTCAGAATCTTTGCCTCCAAGGAGCCACCTGGTTTAACCCTTTCCAGAACAAATCTGTTTGTTTTCCTAGCAGTCCATGGTATTCTCAATACTCGTATCCAGCACCACAGCTCAAAGGCACCAATTCTCCTTCTATCCTCCCTGGTCATTGTCCAACTCTCTGATGCTTAACAAGTGATTGTGAAGACCATAGCCTTGTACCAGACGCACCTTAGTCTCCAGAGAGACACCATTGTTCTTCAGTACTTTGGAGAGGTCCCTAACAGCACACTTTCCCATGGCATTGCGCCTTTTAATTTCCTGGCTGCTGGTGCCAAGACTGTTGACTATGTAGCCAACCTGTAAGACAGAGTAGAGCTACCCCTAGTTTCCAAAACTATAATCTCTAAAGAAATAGACAGCCTCATCCTTTTTCCCATGGATTGAGTGGCTGGTTAGCAACCAAGTGCTTAAGCATTGCACTGCCACGAGGGCTCTTGTAAATGGACTTCTTGTGTGTGCCTTCAAGTTGCTTGCAACTCATAGTGACCCTGTGTACAACAGCCCTAAACCCTGCTCTGTACTTTGCCACTCTCTGTCTCCAACACATCCCGATTACCCCAGTCACTGAATCAATCCACCTCATAGAGGGTCTTCCTCTCCTGCACAGTCCTTCCACCCTCCCAAACATGATATCCCTCTCCAAGGACTGGTCCCTCCTTACAGCATGTCCAGAGTATGTCAGACAAAGCCTCAGAATCCTTGCCTCCAAGGAGTAGCCTGGTTTAACCCTCTCCAGGGTGAACCTGTTCATTTTCTTAACAGTTCATGTACTTCAGTACTCTTTTGCAGCACCACAGCTCAAAGACATCAGTTCTCCTTCTATCCTCCTTAGTCATTGTCCAGCTCACTTATGCATAGCAAGTGATTGCAAAGACCATGGCCTGCATCAGATGCACCTTAGTCTCCAGAGTGACACTGTTGCTCTTCCGTACTTTGGAGAGGTCCCTAACAGTAGACTTGAGCATCGCAATACATCTTTTAATTTCCTGGCTGCTGATGCCAAGAGTGTTGACTGTGGAGCCAAAGCAGTGAACAGTCTCAGTCTCTTCACCATCCATCCTGTTGCTGCCAGTTGTCTCAGTGGTGAGAATCTTTGTCTTCTTGACATTGAGCCTCAATCCATATTGAAGGCTGCAGTCCTTCACCCTCTGCAGCAAGCATTTCAGGTCCTCCTCAGTTTCAGCAAGCAGGATTGTGTCATGTGCATAATGCAGATTGTTGATGAATCTTCCACCAACCCTGATGCCACACTTCTCCTCATACAGCCCAGCCTCCCAGATAATCTGTTCTGCGTATAGGTTGAAAAGGTATGGCGTACACCCTTCCTCATTTTGAACCATGTAGTGTTTCCTTGCTCTGTTCTGACAACTGCCTCCTGGTCCAAGTATAGGTTTTGCATTAGCACAGTCAAGTGTTCTATAATTCCATTCTTCTCAGTCAGCCAGTTTGTTATGATCCACATAGTCCACATAGTCAAACGCCTTTGCATAATCAATGAAACACAGATAGACATTCCTCAGGTATTCCCTGATTTCAGCTAAGATCCGTCCATCATTAGCTACAATAACCGTAGTACCACGATCCCTTCTAAACCCAGCCTGGACTTCTGGCAGCTCTCTGTTGATGTGCTGTTCCAGTCGTTTTTAGAGCCACTAGATAAATCTTATTTTATAGTACCATTAAATACTCAGTTCCAAATCCCATTCGCTCTCAATGGCCTATGGTTGGATGCACAACGAATTTCCTGAAATCATCTCTGGTACACCTCCTTTGGGTTGTTAAGAAGGTGTTGAAATGTGAGAAGGCTGGTAGTGAAATTAAATTGTGGCTCGGAGTAATTAGGGAGGGAGAAACCTCAGCATTTTCGTAGAACATTGGCCTTGGTTGCAGCTGCAAACAACGGATATGAATTTAACCAGTTGCTGCCGTGCAGCTGGTTCAGATCTGACTTTATAACTGGCTGAAGTAAAATGAAATGGCTGGAAAATTCCAGTCAAGTAACACCAGTGGGAACATGTGGAATTAAATACTGTGAGCAAATGCTGGCTGAGTTGAAAAAAATTTCAGACATAAACTTGAGGGTAGTGGTAAGGACTTGTAGTGAGAGTAGGGGAGGGGGAGGGCTCATTCTCTAGCCTTTATAACAAGGGTCTATTGTTTTGATTAGTTCCCTTGCAGGAGGTAGGAGGTTTCCTCAGTCCACAGCAGTTGGTGGAGCCTTTAGCCATTTTAGCTTGTCTATCTTCCTCATTTACTAAAATCACCTGATAATTGTTTTCCCCTTCAAATAGCAAGAAAATAAGGAACCTATTACCTCAGGGACACAAATCTTAAAATATAATCATTTATAGGGCTGAGGAGGCAGTTTTCTTATCTTTCATGACAAAAATCTCTGTACTTTGTCACCTTCTGTCACCCATACCAGGAAGCTGTTGGGTACTTTGGAAGCAAATGTGTGCAAAGATTTAGTTTGGGGGTGTTTTTCTAAAATAGATGTATTACTGGTTTCTGCATAAACAAAAATGGATTTATCAAATCGAGGCTCTTGTATTATTAGTAGTTGTTTTCACTCCATGAAGTGTCTGCTTGTTAATTTGGAGAATTTAGAGTTGGCTGGGAATACATTTCTAAGTAGTTAAAGGGCCGTGGTACTGTTTGGGGAAAACATTTGCTGTAACCAGGTTCAGGGTATTTATTTCCTGCCAGTCCTTGGGAGCTGTGTTTGCCAGGTGATTTCCCTGTCACAGGGATTAGCCAGTGATGTGAAACATTTGATTAAGGGACTTAAAGAAATCTTTCCTAAGGCCCACAACTAGAAGCTATTGTTGCTGGGATGCACCCTCCTCAATTCTGAATGTATTCTTGGTCTTTTATGTTTAGTAAGTTCGTAGCAATGGATTGCTGACTAGAATAGGAACTAGAAATAAAAGTTAAGATATTTACATTGCTCACCTCTTTTTGACGTTTAGATATTTCTTAGATGGAGCCCCTCAGTATACAAAGTTATCTTATGGCATATTTCTTTTTGAAGATGTTGTTGTTATGTGCCGTTGAGTCGCTTAGCGACCCTATGTACAGCAGCCCTAAACTCTGCTCTGTCCTGTGCTAATCGCACTGTCTCTGACACTCCCATCCCAATTATCCCAGTCACTGAATCAATCCACCTCATAGAGGGCCTTCCTCTCCTGCACTGTCCCTCCACCCTCCCAAGCATGATGTCCTTCTCCAAGGACCGGTCTCTCCTCACAACATGTTCAAAGTATGTTAGAAGGAGCCTCAGAATCCTTGCCTCCAAGGAGCCACCCGGTTTAACCCTTTCCAGAACAAATCTGTTTGTTTTCCTAGCAGTCCATGGTATTCTCAATACTCGTATCCAGCACCACAGCTCAAAGGCATCAATTCTCCTTCTGTCCTCCTTGGTCATTGTCCAACTCTCTGTTGCATAACAAGTGATTGCAAAGACCATGGCCTGTATCAGATGCACCTTAGTCTCCAGAGAGACACCATTGCTCTTCAGTACTTTGGAGAGGTCCCTAACAGCAGACTTTCCCCATGGCAATGCACCTATTAATTTCCTGGCTGCTGCTGCCAAGACTGTTTACTATGGAGCCAAGCAAACTAAAGCTGTGTACAATCTCAATCTCTTCACCATCCATCCTGATGCTGCCAGTTAGTCCAGTGGTGAGAATCTTTGTCTTCTTGACATTGAGCCTCAATCCATATTGTAGGCTGCAGTCCTTGACACTCTGCAGCAGGCGCTTCAGGTCCTCTTCTTTTTGAAGATACAAGAAAAAAAAATAATAAAATATGCCTGCTTCCCAGAAGTACAACTTTTTTTTTATCTTAAAAAAATGAGAAGGGGAACCCACAAGCTCAGCAACAACAAAAAAACTCCACTAGCAGCATTGTTCTCTTAAGAAAGAGGTGGGAATTGATGATGCACATTCCTTAGATTTGTACTAAAATTAGAAACCACAGTTGCCATGGTGTTACTTCTCACTCTTAGTTACCTTTGTGTGTCACTGTGGGTCTTTTTATTTTCCTTGAAGGAGATAACCACTCATTAGAAAGACATAATAAACATATGTGTAGAGATTCTGCCTTAAGTTATTCACCTCCAAAAGGGAAGAGAACTCTGGCTGCAGAGGGAAGTACCATTTTGTTTTCCACATTTCGTACTAACTTGTACATGTTTTTTCCCACAGATCACTATCATCTTCAAAGCCCACCATGAGTGCACCGATCAGAAAGTATACCAAGCTGTGACAGATGACCTACCAGCTGCCTTTGTGGATGGCACCACCAGTGGTGGGGATGGTGATGCCAAAAGCCTGCAGATTGTGGAGAAGGAGAGTGGCCGCTATGTGGAGATGCACGCCCGCTACATAGGGACCACAGTGTTTGTGCGACAGCTGGGCCGCTACCTGACCTTGGCCATTCGGATGCCTGAAGACTTGGCTATGTCTTACGAAGAAAGCCAGGACCTGCAGCTATGTGTGAATGGCTGTCCCGTGAGTGAACGCATTGATGACCAGCAGAGCCAGGTGTCTCCCATCCTGGGACACACCCCACCCCACACCACCTTAGCACAGACCTGGCCTGGCTACACACTGGAGACAGCCAACACTCAATGCCATGAGAAGATGCCAGTTAAGGATATCTATTTCCAGTCCTGTGTCTTCGACCTGCTTACCACAGGTGATGCCAACTTCACCGCTGCAGCCCACAGTGCCTTGGAAGACGTGGCGGCACTGCACCCAAGGAAGGAACGCTGGCACATCTTCCCAAGCAGCAACAGCGGGGCTCCCCAGGCACGCAGTGACTTGTCTCTTAGTTTTGGACTCACATTCTTGTTCCTTGTTGTGTTTTTGTAGGGGTTGTCTTTTTGGTTGGGTTTTTTTTTTTTATTTTGGGGGTTTTTTTGTCTATAACAAAATTTTAAAATATATATTGTCATAATATATTGAGTAAAGATAAGAGTATATATGTATATACCATGTATATGACAGGATGTTTGTCCTGGGACACCCACCAGATTGTATATATTGTGTTTGGTTGTTTTCACATACATTGGATGTAGTGTTTTTTGATTGTACCAATTTTAATTTGCAGTTTTGTGAGATGTTTTATAATGTCCCTGCATGGGGACCTGTTAGAAAGCACTTTATTTTTTATATATTATTAATATTTATGTGTGTACTTGGTTAGTATGCATAATACATATACACAGAAACTATACGCAGCATTACCTTTGAAGATGACCAGTGATATTGTTCTTATCTAGACTGTTCATTCCTGTTCTGGCTCCTTGCTACTGATTTTCCACAGAGGGCACTTTTCACCTGCTGCCTCCTGGTGAAGCTGCCTCATTCCTTTGGACCATTCTTTTCCCTTTCCTCTGTTCTCTCTTCCTTTGAAAGAAGAGATTATTAATACCCTCTTAAAAAATGTACTTCTGATGCTGTTCAACACTGATCTTTAGGCAGCCCTCATTCCCCATTTAATAGTTATCACTTTTTCAGGAATTGAGGGAGTGTAATTACAGTTCTTTTCTGTTCTTACCAGATTTTATTTGAGCACCTACAATGTGTTAAGTCAGTTGTATGAAACTGCTGTTTTTGTAGGTCAGAAAGGGTCAAGTGACGGCAATTTCATAAATAAATACCAGGTATTATGTTAGACCCAGTAGCTTTTCAATTTTTTCTCATTTCACACTCATGTTTAAGTTGTCTCCCCCTTCCAATAACTACTCTGCATTACACAAACAAAATATGAAAAGATGCATTTAGTGATAATCATGCCTTGCTCTTTTTTTAACAACCCACGCCCTTAACTTTGTTGGCTCTTTGGGCATGAAGTGCACTGCCACACAGTTCCCAACCCCTGGACACACTGTGTCTTCAGCCTCATCTTAGGAATCGAAGGACTGGATTTTGTTATATTCTAATATAGTAACCTTGATGTCACCAGTTTGTTCAACCCTCCTTGCCCTCACACCATGGTCTCTATCACAGTCATTGATGTATCCAGAGGTATATGGGATCTGATGACAAAAGCACCCTAATTCTGACTCAGTGTGTGGCTAATTCTGTCAGTTAATCATTTTTACTAGCTAAATACAGCTTCCAAGGTGGTCTTAAAAAAAAAATAAGTCAGATACTCTCCCTTTTAAAATTACCTATAAGTGAATCTTCCGTTATCCATATAACTTGGTGAAATCCTTAAAGTGATTTTTCCTTGTATCTTTCCTTTCAGTGTAGGCACCACTTGCCAATGGAAAACAAAGCAGGAACAGAAATTAAAAACATTAACTCCGGAGCAGATTTCTGTTGTTACATATGAACAATGTAAACTTTTGTTTTGGTTCCAGGATGAAGTGATATTTGTACTTTATCTTAATAATTCAAGTTTACAAAAAGGCAAACAAATATGTTAAGTGCCAGAATAATTTCAGCCAAGGCTCTGCTTTTGGTTAGCCAAGGTAATTTTTGCTGTGTCCTGTTGATTGGTGGCACCAGTGGCAGATTCCCCAATAATCAAAGTAAGCACAGGTTTCTTTGTGCTTGCTACTCTGTAGTGAAAAATTTTATTTTCAAAGATTCTACTGCATATGGCTGGTGGTGGCTATCCCCCAACCACAGAAGCTAGTACCTTCTTACAGAATCAAAGCTGTTTTTCATATTTACAGTCCCAGATAATGATGGAGTGTCCCATTAAGCTAGGTGAGTGTGGTTTTACTTGTGCTTATTAATCTGTAATTGTTTCTCAGTTTTTTTTTAGCCATAGATTGGTAAGAAACCTTTGCTTACCTTATTAGGTAAATAGCCCCAGAGTGGCACTGCCAGAAACTCCAACTGGCAGGTAAAGACAGTGACATTTGGTAAAGGTCAGTTTCTTAGTAAACCAGTGATAGGATGGAGTTGTTGATTTAGGTGACAAACCCCCACCACCAACAACAACAATGGAAGAAAAGTAGGATATACATCTAACCCCTATTTTTTGCTCTAAAAAGAAGTCACAAAATAATTGTAGACATGAGTATAATACCTGGATTTAGAATACAATATATGTTGTCCTTTGCAGGGAAAACCACCACAACAGCTAATTTTGTTATGTGCTATAGAGCCACAACTAAATAGTTGGGGAAAAGCAAAATTGGATTCTTTTAACATACCATTTACCTGGAAGAGTGCTTGAAAGCATCCTGTATCATTCATCTAGTCCTGTTATGTGTGCCATTTATCATCATTGCCTTTGTACAACATTTACAGTCTCCACAAATAGCTCTTTCAGAAAAGAAATATTCCCCTAGAGGAGAGTCAAGTTTACTTTGTCCTTTTTAGAATTTTAGAGAAAAGGCTACTTACACATGGTGATTCTTAAAATCCATCATCTCCAGAAGACTTTAGGGGTCATGCTAACCCATGCCTAGTCTGTAGCTGTTAAAAATTCTGGAGAGGCTTAAAACTGGGAACAAACACTGGTTTTCACAGATGCTCCACATGGCTGTCTTTAAAAGACTAAATTTTTCCCATTTTCTCTGTTAGGCCTAGAACCCTGCCCCTTCGATAGTATGCTGAGTCTTTCCAAAGAAATCTTTTATATGTGGTTCATAGGTATATGAATATCTGTGTAAAACAGTGAGTGTGCAGTGTGTAAATACTTTAAATTATGCTAGAAAATAAAGTTACCATGCTGTGGAATGTTTGTTCTGTGATTATAGTGACACCTGCTGAAAGAGCTGAGAAACACAGGTGCAGAAGGAAGGGAGTTGGGATGCCGTTGTACAAAAAAACCTCTTTGGTTCCTGACTGTAAATTGTACCACCTGCCTACTGACTCAAGTTCTTTTCTGCATTAAACCACAGCTGTGATTTTTTTTTTATCTGTACTTTATCAGATAAATCCGTGTCTGCCTAAGGCTATTCCAGAGGCTCTCTTTAGTCCCTTAAAGTCAACAACACAGACCACAGCCTATCATTCCAGGGGTGGGGGTGGGGCAGAATTTTCTGGCCTTGAAAATTTCTGTAAATTCCCCACTTCTTGGGTGTTCTAAAAAGAGACATCACAAGATCACAAATTGGTCTTTGTTCAAGAAACATGCCAAAGGGTCAGAAAACCCAAATGGAAAGCACTATTACCGTTAGGAGATGGACTACTAAGTGGAGAAAAATTTTGATAGTAGGAAAACACACAGTCTTTTGCCGACTAGAAAGTTTAACCACTGCACTTGTTCACATGTAGCACCTCAGGACAAAGGAAAAGCACATTCACCGAAACAATGACAGTGATACGTCACTGTGAGTACTAGTGCATCTATCTGTACTTATTGAACACGCACAATTTAATCTGTATCACAGAACCTGCTTCAACTCATTGCCATGAACACAAACTCAGCTGACCCACTAGTGAATTTTCAGAGGCTATAAATAGCACATGAAGAGCTTGGCCATCTTTTCCCCCTCAGAGCAGAGGCACTGTCTGCTAGGCCCCAGAGCTCCTCTTCTGTTAAGATTACAGCCAAGGAAATCATGTGGAGCAGTTCTCTGCCAGACAAGGTTGCTAGTACTTGAAAGCTTGCCTTTGGCTTGGCAGTGCAACTTAACTGCTAGATCACCAGAGCTCCTACACAGAAGTGAAAATTACTCATCCACACATTTAATTCACTTGTAGCTTTCCAGAGGCTGAAATATGAACTTCAGAAACCCATAAAGGAAATCTTTGTTTTCTAAAGCAGCAAAAGATTACTTAAACGAAGAATTCTGTTACTGATTTCCCCCCGCCCAGTCAAACTCTGTCTCATATTTTGGGCATGTTGCCAGGATGGACCAGTCCTTGGAAAAGGACATCATGCTTGAAAAGGTGGAGGGACAGCAAAGGAGAGGAAGACCCTAGATGAGATGGGTGGACAAGAGTCAATGGGGGTAGTTAAGTTGGAGATAGACTCGCTTTGGGTAGGATGGGATTCAGAGCTATTGTACATAGCTGTGCCTCTATGAGTCGCAGACAACTCGATAGTACATAACAACATAAAATTAAAAGCATTCTGCTGGAATCAACCATACTAACAGGTTTCGAGCCTGTAAGCACAAATGGTTAAGTACTTCGTTTTTCACCAAATGTTTGGTAGTTCAAATCAACCCAGAGGCTACTTGGAACACAGGCTTAGTGATCTGCTTCCATAAGTAGTACAGCCTAGAAAACCTAAGGGCCACAATGAGTCAGAATTGATGTAACAACATCTGGGATTGTTTCTGTCCTTTCTGAACAGAAACTGCTAAAAGTTTTCCCTTCTGATCCATGATCAGATGTCTATTTTTGCACATGTTTCAAGAAACATATCCCTTCCAGAGGGAATTTCATCAACATACTCAAGAGGAAATAGCTCACGTTCTAGATTAGTTCACTGCTTAGCTCACCATGTCGTTTCTTTCTACTTCCAGCCCTTCTTTATCCAGCACTCAAAATAGTTAAGTCATATTCACACCATTACTAGAGCACTAACATTTTCCTTTTCATTTACTCTTTTGCCCCATGTATCTAGAGTAAGCAAGATGTTTGGTAGAAGAATATGCTGCCCATCAGGTCCAGATGTCACTGCTGCCTGCCAGTGGTCTTGTGCTTGGAGTGGTGATGTCTTCGTGGCTCATCTCGTGAGCAATGCACCGATTAGCAAGGAGTGTGGCATTCAGGAGAGTATGCTCACTGTGCAGAGGCTGAAGGTACACATCAACTTCCTTAGAATGATGCTTCAACCAGTTGAACAGTGTTCTTGTCAACAAAGAAAGTAGTTGTTGTGCTGACTCATGACTCATGGCAACCCACTGTGTGTCAGAATATGATTGTACTCCATGCAACCAGTGGCTGGTTGTTCA